TTATGAGAAGTCATTCTCAATGCAAACAGACTAACTTGTTTGTTTTAATGAAGTATTCACAAAATTGGAGGTAAAATTCCCATATACCTGAACGGTATCAACCCAGTAGTTCTGCAAAAACTAATTCTAAACACCAATTTTTCTTAAATTGAAGGTTGTACTACCCGTTCTTCAAAATATATAAAATACAAATTCTATTAGTTTTATTGGAGGCAATGTAAAACTAGGACGAAAAACAATTTTACAACTTAATTTTGGACATGAGTGTAGTATAATGAAACATTATGGTAAGATTTTAATTCGATTTTATAATTAAAAGCAATGCATTATAAAACTCTAAGAAATAGTAAAACATGTTTTCACTGCCAGATAAAATCTCCAAATCTGCATTACAAATTTTTATAAATATAAATAAAGTAAAAATTTTAAAAAAAAACACTTTGTATGGTAGCAATAAGAAAATAATAACTTTCTCCCTTTAACTGCATTTGAAGCATTTTATGATTTTGTGGGTTCTTGTAAAAATTTAATATTTAAAATAATTTTAAAGTTGTACAGGTAAAGCTAACCCAGATATCCCACACGATGGATAAAAATTTTTTTTATCTATTACTGATCAGACCAAACTATAAAAGATAATTTTAATGTGTAAAATGATAATTCAGTACAGATTTTTTTTGTAAAAGGCAAAGAAACTTGACTGTCGACGAAGTTTAAATTATCTTAATCTACATATTTTAATGTAAATGTTTTTTTCTTGCTTTATAAAAGAATTGTTGCTTTATTATTTTTCTTAAAGTAGTTACAATTTTTTTTTTAAAAAAAAAAATCGTTCAAGTAAATTTTTAAATTGCCTTACAACTTTGTAAGTTACGAAAAAAGAACGGTCAATGTCATTTTAAGATTTTTTTAAAAAAAAAATTACTCTAGCATATAATTAAATGTGTATGGTGAACTCATCTCGTATTTAAAGTAGATTGACTTAGTAATAACTATTAATAATAACAATAATAAAATTATATTTATCACTCAAATTTAAGAGCTATAAAACTCGCAAATGACAGACAAAATATCCATTTGGCTAAACTCATATGACGTCACAGTCACGTGATCAAGTGTTTCCAGCCAATCAGTTCATACGATTTGCTGCTGCCAGCTTTTGCTTTTCACTGAAATTTTCTTTTAAAAGATACATATTTGTCAACAATAATGACGCACATAGGTAAACCAAAGAACTTGATTTTAAAATACACGTTTAACATAAGATTGCTATAAAAAAAATTTTGGAAGATCTCAATACTTGAACATCATTACCCCAAATATCCAATTTGAAACTTAACGTGAATTTTACTATTTTAACGTCAGTTTTTTGAATTTAATGGAGAACACTTGATTGCTTCTATCATAGGACCGTCATGAAACTCATTACCTTTGCAATAGTAAAACATACTAATACTTTCCGTCGAATAACTACAGTTATATATTTTAAAGAGAAAAAAAAAATATTTGGGCTTAATTACAAGTAGCACAAAACTCCTGTATTCTACTCCAAACAGATTACTCTTCCTTTTTTTTAAAAGGGGTTCCATTTATTTATTATAAAGGGACTTCTACATACCTCTATAACCATCTATGTCTTTTTCAAAACCTCTTCTTAATTTCCCAATAGGTCTCCATTACCTTAATACCTTTCAATATCAGATTTAATAGAAAAAGGGTCCACCAGAAAACTCCCTGCAACCCTGCACTCATCTCGAAGTTAATAATAAAGCAAAGACAGGGGGGTATCATCACATCTTTATCTGTTACGTTTTAATGATTCTATTATAAGATTGGATGACACCCACCCCCCATTCACCCTCTGCGGTACCAATCCATCTTTTTAGGAAAAGAACCCGCTTCTTTTTCTTTTGTGCTTGTCCACGAGAGGGCGCTTTCGAGTAATTGGATTCTGGGTCGATTCTAAAAGAACCCCATTGTTTCGAAGGCCTTCTTTCTATCTTACTTTATTAGCGATCTATTTTCTATCTTTCTCCCCCACAGACTGATTTATTTTTATTATTTTTTTGGTTTGAGAGACAGAGAAAGATTTTTTTCCCTCCCGAGTTTGATAAGGGATGAAAAATTACTGACCTCTTCTGCAAAATTTTATTAGTGGTTTCAGCAGAGGTGGGTGGACAAGTGCTGTCGGCAGCTGACGCTAAAGTGCTTTAAGAGTTCAAATGCGAAGGTGTGTTTTTGATGAAATATGGTCAAATTATAGGATACATCCTCTGTAATTAGAAGTTTTACCGAAAACACACCCAGTTCAATCAATCGTTAGAAACGTTTCATACTTCAGCAATTGGTCTCCTTTAAATTCAGTATTTTAATGATAAATGCAATAGGAAATATTTATTTTAAAGGTATTTCGCTTATTCTCTTTAAAAAAAAATCAGACACGTAATATGTTGTTGTGATTAATGTTACCTGCCTGACGAAGACAGATCGAGGCCCGCGAAATTCATCGCGGCTAAGGACTAGAGTTTGTACGCCTGTCGTTAGCCTTAGCTTTGAGCACCATGCAGGTGACAGTACGATTTTACTCAGTTCCACCCCAACTTAGAGGGAGAAAACCCTAGGGGTTCTAGGGCCTCCCACCTCTCTTCCCCTTCCACCAACCACACGAGACGACTTGCAGCTCGACGGCTATTTAGAGTACATCCATGCCGCAAAGGCCCGATACATTTACAAACATCCATGTCTTCTCCGGGATTCGAACCCAGTCCTTACGGCACCGCAGTCAGCGTCGCTAACCACTATACCGGTTGGGCGACAGGCATGGTTGCATAGTAAATATAATCGTTTGCCCTCCATTAAACTCAAAATTAACATTAAACTTGTACTTGATGTTCTGCTTGTAAAATTTAGATAACATTTCAAAATTGAATAACTTGCTTAAGTAGTTTAATTATTAAGTACTAAAAACTCTGTACTTAGTAACCCTGTACTAAAAAAAAAAAAATCTTATACTATACATGTACTTTTAAACCAAGTGTATTTTGTTTAATTATGTCCGTTATTGATGATGATAAATATGTACTTTTTAAAAAAAAGTTTCTGTAAAAAACTGAAGTTGTCAACAGCAAAGCGCATCAATTAATTGGCTGGAAACGCATTGTTGCATTTAATATGTGATTATGGCATAAGTGAATTTAGGGATTGATTCGCTAGTAACACATAATCAGGGATGTCTTAAAGCATGGGCCAACTGGGCCCAGGGCCTCGCCCTCACTGGGGGCCTCATTTCGTTCTCAACTTCGTCTTAATAAGATCATGATCCAAATAAATTTAATGATCAAATATTATTCCCGTACATAATCTTTGAAAAACAGGGAATCTCAAACTGCATGTCAACTGCAAAAGTGGTAAGAATGCATTATTATGTGATGACCGTGGCCCATGTCTAGGCCTTGGCCTAATACCATAAACAATCATTCAACTCATTTAGTCGAAATGCGGCCATTGGTCGAGTCGGTTTGTATCTAGGTTTTTGAGAGAGAGACTGTGAGTCGTGCACATTTATTTGTTTCAAATGAACGTTTGGACGAGTATTTGACAATGCATGCTATATACTGTCTACTTTTAAATATATCATGTAGGGCCTACTTTTGCATAAGGGCTTAGGGCCTCAGAAATAAAGATTTATTTAAGCCCAGGGCCTCAAAAAGTCTTAAGACGTCCCTGCACGTAATTACAGTTATCCTGCAATTACGACGTCACATAAATTTGGCACACTGAAATTTGAAACGTGAACCCAAAAATATTTGAATTGAAAGCATTGCACGAGCTTTGTAGAAGCGTGCTCCTACTCTAATACAGGAGTAATACAGTTTTATGGTATGCGACTACGTTCGGAACCGTGATTTTAAAAAAGTGCATAAATGGATAATTTGCATGGTATTTAGTGTCACTTAGATTAGAATACATGTATAAAATTGTTTTAAGGAGATTTTGACAAAAAAAATTTATTTAAATACAATATTTTGGCACAAAAAGTTAAATTAAAATAAAAAATTTTCAAACTGTTCTCCTTTTATAAGAAATGTTTCTAAAATAATAATATATATTATATATATATATATTGCTTAAAGTAAAGACTTCTCCAGAGAGTCTGAACTATTTTTTTTTTTTTTTAAAATTCACATTACTTTCAGAGTTACCACCAATGAAAATAATTATCGGCGGTTTTTTTTAAAAAATGCTCTCTTCTGTTGAAGTAAAATATGGATAAATCCACTTCTAAGTTATATATTTCAAAAATTTTAGTTGAGCCTCTGTACAGAGGTCTGAGTTATATACAGGCAAAATATATTATTATAATAGAAGCATTTTTTTCATAAAAGGAGAATGTTTTGAAAATGGGTCATTCTATGTTCATTATTTGTCAAAATATTGTACTTAAATAACTTTTTACTGTAATAATATTCATAAAAATTTTATATACGTTTTCTAATCTAAGTGACACTAAATATCATAAATATTATCCATTTATAAGCTTTTGCAAAATCACGGTTCCGAACGTAGTCGGATACCTAAAGAAAATATCGTTATTTTGTTATTTTTCTTCGAGTAGAGAAATTTAAAAATTCGCTAAGAGTGGATTCATATTAGGCAAGAAATATTGAGCGAATTTTAAAAAAAAAGTTGCAGAGTTATCTATTACTTTTAAGATTCTTCGTTTGCTAAATACTCTTTATTTATCAGAATGTTGAATTTGGATGTACATTTTTACAAAATGTTAAAAACATATATTACACAATGTCTATAGCTTGAAAAGAGACAGGGGAAAAAATCTGATTGAATTTTATTTAGAGCTTGAAGCGAAATGTATATTAATACTCTTCCACATGAGCATCATTATTTGTTCAGATAATAGCAATTCTGTTATTTAGGTGACTAACTACGTTGAGAATTCTAATTTTGAAAAAGCGTGTAAGAATTAGAATATACGCCGCAGAGCCAGTATGGTGGATATGACGCTCGGCTTGCAACCGAGTGGGTTCGGGATCAAATTCCGAGTAAGGCATGAATGTATTTTCTTCGGGAAAAGAAGTCGGGCTTTCACGTGTAATGGATTCTCATTTTGAATGGAAAGCAGCACCTGTTCTGTTATATGCTCGGATCATCATCTGTAATAAATGTCTATATTCTTCTGTTTGTATTGTATGTTTCTGTTCTTCCACTTGTATTTCATATGTATCCCAGGATAAAAACATAAGACAACAATAACAATTAGAATATACAAATAAAATTATTTCAAGAATTTAATTACAAGAAAAAAGTATTTATATGCAATTTTTTTTGGCAAAAAATGATGAAGTAAATGATGTATTTTCAAACGTTCTCATTTAAGGGAAAGTACTTATCTAATAATAATATTTCCCCCATGTATAATAATTCTGATAATAATGTGGTTTTTTTTTTCAAAAACCTTTGTTCAAGCTCTTTAGCTACTTATAGGCAAAATGTTATTATTATAGAAACATTTTTCAAAAAAAGAAGAATTCTTTGAAAACAAGTCATACTTTTTTCAATTTTTGCCAAAAAATTGCAATGAGATTGCAGTTTTTATTATAATAACCTTAAAATAAATTTATAAGTATATTTTTTAATTCAAGTGCCCCTAAATATATATAAAAAAAATCATTTATACGCTTTTTCAAAATTACGCGGTTCTGAATGTGTAACCAGATAATTGAAATAAGTACAAATGTATAGATTTGAGTAAAATGAAAATAGATATTATTTCATGTTAATATTACACTTACAACTACGAAATAGATAATCCACACGGGAGACTTCAAAAATAATATTATAAGTACATATTAAAAATTATTTATAGCTTTGTCTGTTTTTTAATAGTATGATAAAATCTTTTGAAGAAACTAGGAATTAAATACACCTCGGCTTACCGCAGTGCAGACTTATGAACTGTTATGTATCATAATTCATATATATACACAAGAATACATTAAATGTGTGTATTTATTTGTTCTACAGTTTTTATAGTATATATATATATATATATATATGGTTAAAAAAATATAAATCTGCCTATTTGGTCAAAACAGAACTTGGTTCAAATCTAGAAAAATCTCTTCATCAAAAATGTAAATAAAAAGTCCTGAAGAAATTTGTTTCATTTTTTTTTATGCTATTAGAAAGCTCTTTCTTTTTAACCCATTATCTTAAGCATCTCAATGTTGTTTATCCTAAATTGAGAGAAATAACAGGTAGTATAACTCAGAAATTGAATAAGAATGAAGTTCACATTTTTTTCTCTTCAAAGATTACCAACAACAACTCTTTCAAAACTATTTGTTTATCTTAAGAATACTGATCATTGCATCTTAAATAAAATATTCAAAACATCTATTTTTAAACAAAATGATTGGTTGTGATGCTACGTGTATTTCCATATATATTTATGTATATCAAACGCAAAAATGTTTCCGTAATACAAACCTGAATGTTCTTTGATCAAAAAAGTTACAAGAAAGTTCTCGTTATTATTTATCGAACAAGAAACGAATCCAAGAAACAAGTTTTTCGATAAAACTTGAATAAAACTTTCCACCAAACAAAGAGGAAAAATAGTTGCATTTCCGCGCGCTTGTATTGCCAGTTTCATTTCATGTGCGACTTGGTTGGAAATTCGTTCTTTTCGAATTCCTTCCCCATTTTCGAGAGAGGCAAAATAGAACCCTGTTCTTGCCCTCAGAAAATATACAAGCTCATTTGTACGTAAAACGTAATTTCAAAAACGTCCCAAGCAATTTTGGAATTCGAAGCATTGGAAGAACAAAATAAATGGAAGAAAAATAAAATGAATGGCGGGGAAAAAAAGACAGCTCTTGCTTAAAAAAAAGAAGAAAGAAAAAAAAAATGTTTTGAATAAAAATTCCGAGAAATTGTCGTCGAGAAAAGTTGTTAAAAAGCTGCGGAATACTTGGAAGGTGAACTTTCCATACTTACGCAAGCGAAGCACGACTGTGCTGTAGCATTCGCAGCGGTATTTGAATAACGTCGAAAACGAGCTAAGCCTAAAAATCGAACAAAAATAAGAATGGGAAAAGAAATGAAGAATACTTTTTTTTTCGCAATAGGTTGAAGACATCAAATTCAATCAGAATAAAGTCGAAAAAAAGAAATTAAAATAGTTTCTTGTTGAAGAATGTAACTTTCATGGATATTTTATTACTGTTTTCTTTCACTATTTTTTTTTCGAATAAAACAGAGGTATTCTTTGGGAAAAAGGAAAGACTGATATTTTCATATGATGAGGTGGCAACACATCAAACGAAAGGATACGAGCAAGTATATTAAGAGAAGGAAAATTACTTTTCGAACATTTTTCGGAAGTACTGAGATTGGATCCGAGGAAACGGAATCTTTTTATGGAAATCAGGTCTGGCTGAAAAGAATAATGTAATTTGAGGAGAAGATCGTAAAAATAATTGAAATCAGATATGTCTGGGAAAATGGAAGTGGGTAAGAACTCTCTGGAATGGATTTCTGTGAAGTAATAATGCCAGGAATGATTTAACAATAATTAAGTGCCATCATTGAATTCATAATAGATTTTTCTTTCTTTATTGGGTGTGCTACTTTGAAGGTTTAAATTAACTTCTCCCGCGCATTCTTTTTGGTGCAGAAGAGATAAAATTTCAATTCGAATATTGAAAACCATTCGTTTTATTTTAGAATGGAATCTCGGTTCTTTTGTAGATTAACGGTATACAGAATTTTTTTTTCTACTGTAACAAAGAGGAAAAAAAGGATTGGATTTCCTACGGGAATGCATAGTCAGGGATTTTCAATGTATTTTGTTACTTGTACTTATTTACTTGAGAAAATTATGTTGAGGAAAAGTAATATAGTGTTGTACTCTTACTATATCAAAAATTTGAAAATTGTATCCGTATGATAGATTGAATCCTTCTGAAATTTTATCGAAAAAAATTCACTCAAATTGCATTTTCTATATTGAATGGGATTTTTGTATGACGATACAACAAAAAAAAGCTTTGAAATTGAAATTGGATGACTGGATTGCTACGCTAATAACGATTTACATTGTCCAGAACACTCACCCGTGGATGTGTAAGGGTGACCTTAAGTAAAAAACATATTCATAAAACCACTCTCATTTATGACCATCATATCCCTATCTAAATTCAACCTAAGCTAGGACCCTTCCTCAGTAATACCAACGCCCTTAATTGGCCCGTCGATTGTCTTTTTTCTTGAACCTCGGTAGCTTCAACTATTTTATATTTTTGTAACGATTTAGCTTCAGCATGGCAACAATCACAGATCTCACTCTGACTTCCCACTTCACTTGACTGTAAATAGCAACTTTCATTAAAATGTCGCTTTTCCTTAGCTGAAAGCGGATTTATAATTTTACTACGTTTAAAAGTATTTTCCTTAAAGGATCCACGAATAGAACCCGTTCAACTTGTGTAGAAAAAATATTCCAAAAAAAGTATTTATTCTTTTGTTCAGTTAATAAATAAACGCAATAAAAGATTAAAGTGAAATCAAATTCTGCAATTCCCAAAAAATTCTTTACAAAAAAAAAAAAAAAAAATTCCCTTAAAAATCTCTCTCTATATATAGGACAACAGCGATTCACCACCTTATCCTCTAAATGGTCCTTTTAATAAATGGGGATTTACTAAAAGAACGGGTTTTGATACTTATTTTATTTATTTATCCAACGCACGTGCTTGGCTTCTTGACCATTTGACGCCCAGCCTCCCAGTACGAACTAACAATGTCATCATCATTATTCATCTATTCCAGTGCATTGGAGCAGGGAGTCGCCATCCATTCTGGCATAACTGCAGAGTGGGTAGGCGTCGTTAGCAGCCACACCAAGCCAGTGGAGGGATACTCCCAAAAAGTCATGTTCAGTAGTTAGGTGAATGCGGGCAACAGCCTCGACTCTCTCCAGGTGCCACGGGATTGGGCCCACAGTGGCCAGAGTTTCACATGGTTTTCCAAAACTCTTCGTTTTTTGGGTCAAGACAGTATATTTGTCAATGTGTGTGGAGATGATGCTCTTTGCTCTTCTTAGGGTCAAGGGGACTTCTGGTTGAGTCGATTCGGCTCCCTGTTTGGCTTTTTCGTCGGCTCTTTCATTTCCGGGGATCCCAACATGACTTGGGACTCATTGTAAGACCGCAGTCCAGCCATGTGATATGCGCTTCGCAATTTTAGTTCGGCACTGAATTTTGTTAAGGCAGCCAGTTGGTGTACTACTGCTTAAAGCTAAAATTGCAGCTTGTGAGTCTATGAAGAAGACAACTTTTGCAGGAGCTGGGCCAGTAGATAGTAAAGGTGTTGTATCTTTACAGACAGCCAAGACCTCACCATCGTAGTTGGTGGCGTTCTTTCCCAAGGCCAATGAGCCCTCAAACAGCTGACAGAACCATCCCGGCTCTATTTGTTTCTGGCAGGTATGAGCCGCCAATGTAGATATGGAGCCAATTATTTGCTGCATGTCTTTCTGCGAGCGTTTCTAGAGCGCTGGATTTTAGTTCTTCTGGAATGGCATCAGCCTTATTTGTGTGTGTGCGGATATTGGCTGTAAAAGGGGGCTGTGGGGACGTTAAAGGAGAAAAAAATATTTTCTTTGAACTATTAAGATTTACAAACGTGAAATTTGTAAGACATGCTTCCGTTGAGTTGAGATGCAGTAAAAACGGCCCTTGTAGAAATCGATTCCCAACAGAGGTTCCAGAGATGTTATAGAAACAAATTCCTGTTTTTTTTTAACTATAACACTTATGAACTTCATGGATTTGGCCAATGTAGTTCTTCTGTTGAGAAGAAATCCACTAAGAACAGGTTTTGCAGAAATTGACTCTCAAGGAGGTTTACGATTCATTTCAGGAAAATCAAAGGTACAAAAAAAAAAAAATCCGTTTGAGAACATTTAGATTTTAAGACTTGGGACTTGGCAAACATTTTTCTTCTAATGAGTGAAAATCCGCTAAAGTTGGTGTTTGAGGAAATAGA